TGATGGGCCTGAGGATGGTGGAGCTTGTGAGGATGGTACAGGACAGGGCAACGCTCAGACCTGTTGTTCAGAGGGTGATTAAGGGTTGTAGTCAATTCAATGGTACTGAACAACCACAGCCCGCATCAGACTACTTCATACGGTAGGAGTCTATGTCCTCCTCCTTTGCTTTTTCCCCTCAAAGCATTTATCAGCTTCTCATATTCGGTACTCAGGGGGGCTGTTGCACAGTAAATTACATAATGAGGTCCTTCTAGTCAGTCTGTAATTCTCACCAAATAACTGGACATTGGTGTTGTTATGTGCCATTTAGTTGGAAATAACTTAAAGCTGACCTTTCACCAAGTTTTCAGAGGCTATAAATCACATAAGAGGTGACTGCCTATCTTTCTCCTTCACAGTAACTGGTGGATCTATAAAAATGAGATGCTTATGGCCCATAACAGAGATTAAGGTGCACAGCATTCAGGGGAGTGGGACCACACAAGTAAACAAAACAGAACTCAAATGAAGAGGTTGGTCAGTTCTACAGTCCCACTAGATTTAAAACGAGCCATCTCACCACCGGCAAAGGGATCTGGCCCACATAATGTATCGTTGAGGTTGGACTGTGTTCCTTGGACTCAAGGTATTTATGCTGGGAATCACTTGGACTCAGGAGTCAGCTGTAACACCTAAGACAGCAATAAGTGGTGAGTAGCGGTAGCAGAAAAACAGCAGAACAGGAGAGTGACTTAAAATGGTACAGTGGACTCCCATGGCCATGGAGGAAAGCAAGGAAGTTGAGCCCTTTCTGGCAAGAAGCTTGCTGGCAGAGTGAAGTGCTTCTGGTTACCTGGTAGAGTTAAGCTCCCTAACCTCCTGAAATAAGAAAACCAAATGGTTTGAGGTCAAGGCTTACTAATGGTGGAGTGGCTTGTCTCTACATACTGGGAAAGCACTATACAAAGAGCTTTGTAACACTCACCCAAGCAGGGCAGAGGGCAGAGGCAAGTCTCAGGGCCAGAGAGAGGCCTGCCCAGAGGCATGTCTAAGAAGCAGCTGTACTGATTGTAGAACTGTTGTGTCCTGAGTAATTTTTTTTCTTTTGAATTACTATAATCTGTTACTTCCCTAACTGAGCCTTTGGATTATGATGCTGGCAAAGAATATTGAATAAACCACAGTCTGCCAGAAAAAAATTAATAAATCTGTCTTGGAGAAAATACCAGAGTGCTCTAAGGGCACAGCTGGTAAGAAGTGGCACTGCTAACCCAAATGTGGTGCCTCTCTGCCAGTTCAAATCCACCAGGGGATCTGTGGGGAAAAGATGGGAAATTTCCTGCTGTGTGGTTTTACAGCCCCCCAGAGCCACTGGAAGGTCAACTATGATGTTATTATTTGTCATCAAGTTGCCTGCAACTCTATGTACAACAGCTCTGAAGTCTGTCCTGTCCTGAGCCAGTCTCACTGACTCCAACACACTTACCCCACTGCCCCAGTTAATGTGTCTATTGCTCTCGTCTGGGGTCTTCCTCTCCTGTGCCATCCCTCCACCCTTCCAAGCATGATGTCCTTCTCCATGAATTGGTCCCTCCTGTCCACATGCCCAAAGTATGTAGACGGAGCTTCAAAATCCTAGCCTCCAAGGAGAAACTTGGTTTCACCCTCTCCAAGAGAGGTCTATTTGTTTTCTTGGTGGTAAATGGTATGTTCAAGACTCTTCTCCAGCATCACAACTCAAAGGCATCGATTCTTCTCTGCATCCTTAGTCACTGTCCAGTTCTCTGATGCATAGAGAGTAATTGCAAGAACGAGGACCAAAGCCTGGATCAGGCGCACCTTAGTCTCTAGACTGAAAACTATGAGTCGGTTCTGATGCAATAGCAATGAGAGGAGAGTACAGCCAGAATGTCCTATTAGAACTACGAAGGTGAGATTTCACCTCATGTACTTTGGACACATTATCAGCTAGTACTCAAGCCCTGGAGAAAGACTTGCACTTGATAGAGACTCAGCAAAAAAAAGGGCAGGCTCTCAACAAGAAAGAGATAGGCTGATCCAATGAGTAGAGCAATGGTTTAACTATAGCAATGACTGTGAGAGCAGCACAGGATGGAGCAGTGTTCTGCTCTGTTGCATAGAAGAGTTATAAGTTGGAACCAACTTGAAGGGCCACCTAGCAACTTCTCTGATAAATGCTGTAAACTTGACTATTGCCTGTCAATTCTCCATGAACACTACAATGAAATACTGTGCCCAACAGAAGATTGTGTGCCATGGGAGGGAGACAGAGCATCAGAACTCTCGCTCAGGTGGGGAGAGAAGGCATATCTGTCCTTTGCCAGGCATATCTGACCTTTGCCTGTTTTTGCTGGTATTGATCCTTTCGTCCTACTTATGCAGTTGTTGTTATGTG